ATTATGAGCAATAATTTGCTACTAACATAGACACCTTGCTCATCTTACCTATCCAGTCATAGTTAAATTAATCAGACTCTGAATTTCTATTTTTGTGTGACTGAACCACAGCTTAGGGATTTAAAACTTAATGGTATATCTCTGTAAGGCTTACCTTAGCTTTAAAGCATATTCGCCTGAAAAACATTTTACACGATTCACACGTCAATTGACCATAATTTTGGCCTAAATTAAAATAAATAAAAATAATTTATATTAAGCAAACATTTTATACCAATTCCTTTAGTATCGCCACAAATACCACAAATTTTGTCCATTTTATGAACATTTATTAAATGACTTTAAATTTTATTTATTATTTATTGTTAATAATATTACAGCAATAAATAGCCGACATTGAGATTACAAAGTAATTAATTAATCTCTTGATATTAAATGAATACTTTATCTGTAAAACATACAAACAATTGATAATAATTGAATATACAATAAATGTAAGATTTAAAATAAAACTTGTATTAATGTTAGAGTCGACATCTAGATAAATACAAGTCTTGCATAATTATAAGCTTCACATAGTAACATTTTATTACACTTTATTCAACTATATATTTACATTTAAGTTTTTAAGTTATTCATTACCCTATGTGCTTTATTTTAAGGTTTCACAAACTAATATGTAATAATATTTACAGTATATTAAAATATTATAGATTTATTTTTAATTTGCATTACAAAACAATTATATTAACAATTTACATAATAATAATCTAAAATATTATTTTCTAAGATCAAATATCTCTTGAACAAGCGGACCATGGTATTTCATAAACTCACTAGATGCGTTCAATTCAAACGGTACTTTTGATTTTGCAATACGTTTCAAATGAGTTAACGATTGCATTAAATGTTGTACTTTTCTTTGGGATTCAGATTCCGAGCGATATTTCAATAGTAGATATCTTTGCAGTAAATATATATACAGTTGTTGTTCGAGTCTAACAAACAATTTAATTAATTAATTAATTACAAAATTAAAATTTTACTTTAATTAACTACTTTATTCTGTAACTTACTTAACATAGTGATTGTGTATTAGCATTGGACGGCTCGGATTAAACAATATAATTGCTGTTAACTATAAAAATTTTGTAGATTATTAATATAAGTAGTGGATAACAAATTAAATATAATGTTTAAATAAATACCAAATCCATGATGATCGGATCTCTATCCCACTCTTTCATTATATTAATTATAAAATCTCTTAAAATACAGCGAAAGACACGCTTTTCGCTAATTGTATCCACAGTAGAGCCGACACTAATTGCCGTTTGGTTTTTCTAGTTAAACACAAAAATTAATCTAGTTCAATAAAATATACATAGATTTTAAACATGATAACAATTAAACACACGCTTACATATGGAAAGTTAAAACAATCATTACGGTGATCGTAATAGACCAGATAGCGCAGGGCCAACAGCTCAAAACAACCATGCTTAATCAAGATGTATTGATCGGCGGCCGAGATGTTTGTAAAGCCATTAAGGCCCTTGGTGAATTTGACCACATCCGATATACTATTTTCCGTGTATTGAGACAATACACGGAAAAACTCAATCTTATCTCTAATGATATGTCGGGTGTCGGCCATCGGGTAACTGAACACATGGGACGAAGTTAACAGTTCCGACAACTTTATGGTCTCCATTTGATTCCAGCCCTTGTGATCGGTTAGGACAGGGATTATGGGCATTAGGGCCGAGTCCTGGCACTTGTTTTTACCATGTTTTAGTGATATTAGTTTATTATTAGTGTCCATACAATTTGTTTGTAAACAGTTTTCAATTTCATTCATTTGCTCCTCGAGTCCATCGGTACTAATATTCAGTGTTTCGGTAATTAAGTCCTCAATTTCATCAAAATTATTGTTGTTATCATTGTTTTTAAACTCTATAATATCAGTGCAATCGACACCTTTCCTATTGATAGTGGCATTCAATTGACAATTGGTCTCATTTTGCTCTTCACTTTTGATAAACTCCTGTAATTATTAGTTTAAATTGTAAGTAAATTATGTGTAAAATTAATAGTTTAATACCTTTTTCATTCCGACTGTAAAACATTTGTTTAGCCGACAATTGGGACAAATGCTACGAAACGCCTTATCTATACTACACATGCCTTTTGACGGACACTTTAATACCTGTTAATCACATTATATGTTAGTTAATAATTATTGTGTTATTAAATGTATATTTAATTTCAATATTTACCTTATTGTTTGTGATGGCGCGCCAGAAGAACACTCGACATGATTTACATGTGATTGAGCCGTAATTTCTACCTAGTTTATAAATTATAGTTTACACCATAATGAAATGTTATTAATAATTAAATTAATATTATTATAAATGTAAATTACATACCAACTGATTTAGTATCCCCGCATACCTGGCAAATACGCTTGGCATTCATTGTGTCTAATAAATTGGCTAGGTTCAAGTTAATTGTTGATTTAAATTATTTAATAGTTTTAGTTTATACAATATTACACGTTTAGATTCATTTTATATTTAAACATAATAAAAATTACACGATAAGCTATATTCACACCTTTTTATGCTCCTGATAACTGTTTCAGTACAGTAATTGTATAATTAATCTCGGTGGTATTAGTTGTACATGTGTAATATTTATTAACTATTTATAAATAATTTAATTGCAATTTTATAAATAAATTTACAATTTTTAAATACGTACATAGTTTGCACAAATTTCAACATAGATTGCATGTGTGGTTATCATTTAAAAATAGGGTTTGTGAAAAAATATTCACTAAATAATCTCTTTTAGCAAAAACCTTGAAGTTTTCTCTCATGAAATAATTTTTATAACTTTTATAAGTGTTTTTACTTGAATTACAAGTACTTTTTAAGTTCAATCAGTGCCCATCGTGTCAATCATATAAACCTTATTTAATAGCATTTATTTGATATGTTTTTTTATTGTTTTACAAATATTTGATTAGAAATAATTGTAAAAAATTCTAGTTTTGTGTGAGTTTGAAATAGTGATTGTTTTATTTAAGACTTAAAACACTATAAATGTATGTTTGAATATAATAAATATACTGGTTAATTTACTAACTTAGTAAATACTAATTTATAATTATTTATTAAATTATAATTTTTAGCTAGTTATAATAATTAGGCTAGATATATTTCAGTTCTACCAATATAAATTGCTTATAAAATTTAAATATAAAATAAAAATTAAATGTGCTACATGTTTATACTCTAGATGGCAAATAGTACATACTAGTTAAATATTAAATAAATACTAATTTGTGATTATTTATTAAATTGTAATAAATCATTCAATTCATATTACAATTTATACAACTTATACAATTTCTTTGAAAAGTGGTCCAAAGTATTGTATTGATTGGGTTTTGACATTATTTCTCACACATTGACTAAATATTTTAAATTCACTCAATAATAACATCAGATTCTGTAGTCTTGTCTGGGCTTCAGATTCCGACCAACACTTTAATAGTAGATATCTTTGCAGTAAATATATATACAGTTGTTGTTCGAGTCTAATAAACAATTAAATAAAAATTAATAACATTTTCTTAACATGTATACAATATCAATATAATTACAGTACTTTATTGTGTTTCCATGGTTTAAATTTAAAACATGTGGATCAAAAAGCATAATCACTGATAACTAAATATTAAATTATAAATCAATACATTTATTTAATGATGAACAATAAATAACTTTAAAATATATGTTGTTTAATTATTATACCAATTCAATAATGACCACGTCCTTTTGTACCAGGGATACAAATCTGGCGAGAAATTGCTTTAAGTTAGTTTCCATAACGTTGTTATCGGTTCCCTGAGACCATAGCCCTAATTGAATGCAAATTGCATTTTGTAAATCCTATTAAGATTTAAATTATTATTAATTTAGTAAAATTAAATTAGAGAGAGCGAGAGAGAGAGAGAAATCAGTTGGTAATTAATTAATTTTAAATATAATTTTAATCATAAAATTGTTTAATTCAAATATATTTATTTAATATTTAGGCCGAAATTTCACAGCAATTACTTGTGATTCGTGTAAATCTACCATATATTTTCAACCTAGTTAAATAATTACCATAGTTATATAAACAATACAATGAGCCGTAATATTAAGAAATATGTGTGTTTCGTTTGCGGAGGAGAGAGAGAGAGAGAGAGAGAGAGAGAGCATTACCAAAGGCATGATATAGCTATTTGATAGACTATCAAACTGGGACCAGAATCTGGCCAACATCAAATTAAAACTAACGGATTTGGTGATTGCAAATTGATCATGTTTGCACATTTCCTTAAAACCATTTATGCCTTTAAGAAAAGTGACAATATTTTTGATGTGCTCTTCAGCTATGGATCCCGAAAAACGGAGCAAAACTTTACTATCGGTTATATTGACCACATTTTTAGGCGTCGGAAAATTTGCGTCTATAACACGGGACGCGTTGAACAGCTCTAATATACGGTTTGACTCCAATTGATTTAATCCGTTATAATCTGTTAGCGATTTAAATATGGGAATCAATGGGAACGAGGATTGTATTTCTGATACACTATTGATGGCAACCGTATTATCAGTGATTGAATTGTCTGTAACATCAGTTTCATTGCAATCCTCATTAAACATGGATACCATAGGATATAACATTGAATTGTTGTCTATAATTTGGTCCCAGGTCTTTATGTAATGATCATGATCAAAATTTTGATTAACATGTGGTAAACTAGTTGTTGAGACAATCATCTCTTCTTGTATTTGTTGTCTTAGTTTCTTTTCATTAGCCGATTGTCTTCGCCATTGATTTTCCTCCTCATCTCTCAAACATTCCTATCAATTGTTTTAAACATTTTGTTTGTAAATATTGTTTAGATTTTGTGTTAAAATAAATGTCAAATACTTTTTTCATCCCAACGGCAATGCATTTATCAAATCTACACTTTTTGCACGATTTTCTTGAGACGAGAGTTATATTACATGTGCCCTCAAAACGGCATTTAAACTGCTATTTAAATACAATAGAAATTAATTTTTAACTTATATTTTATTTATATTTTACCTTATTTTTAAGGGCAGTTCTCCTAAAGAATGATTTACACGAATCACAAGTAATTGCTGTGAAATTTCGGCCTAAATATTAAATAAATATATTTGAATTAAACAATTTTATGATTAAAATTATATTTAAAATTAATTAATTACCAACTGATTTCTCTCCTCCGCAAACGAAACACACATATTTCTTAATATTACGGCTCATTGTATTGTTTATATAACTATGGTAATTATTTAACTAGGTTGAAAATATATGGTAAATCATTTAGAGTATGATTTAAAACAAAATAAATATAATGTAGTCATGTATGAAAATAAGTACATTATTATAAAAATGGTTTAGAATAAATAGTTGTGATAATTAGTTGTCATGACAACTGATAAATGTTATACCATACCATTATCTTGGTGTTTTCGACTGATAAACTTTTATTTAATAAAATGAACACAACTTTTTATATACAATGTAAAATTTGGTTATAATACTTTAATGCTTGATTAATTAAATATTTATTTGCACTGTATTAATTGAATGCATATTCCAAAAGTACTTTTTAAATACAAATTGTAATGCTACAATTTTTATATTAATAATTTATTTTAATAAATAAAATTCAACATTGTATTCCAATAAAATAATGAACAATATTAGTATATGACATATACTATATGTTATAATAAAATAGATAAAATAATACTTAAAATATGATAACAATTATAGCTGTATATATCAATCCTGTACGGAATGCACTGTAACACAATTAGAGCCACATGTTTTATCTATTACTTAAAGTTACATTTTCGTCATTAGACATGTGTACTTAAAAATGTACACTTGTTATCAATTATGACATCATTCTATACATTTTTCTGCAATTTCTGTATGTCATAGAAATAATTAAATACATGTTGGTAACTAATTAAATGCTATGTTAATCAATAAATAAAAGTATAACTTTTTAAAATAAATTATTTAGTTTATTATGTGTACTTAAAATGATCAATGTTTAATGAGATACAAACTTAAAATTTAGTTAACCTTCATAACATTTTATAGTAATTCAGCATGTTTAATCAATTTACAGTAGAAACGCATTTCAATAAATACAATGCTATTAAATTCTGGCGCAAAATAATTTCACACTAATAGTAACAAAAATAATGTTTAATACAATATGGTTGTTGTAACAAAATTATTATGATACATTTGGTATTGGCACATTGTTATTTCACAATATTGAAAAATACAACATGTTGAAATAAAATTAAATACTGTATATATAAATTATTTACCAAATAAAATATTATAATAAAGTTGGTATAACCGCTTATTTAATGAATTGATATTTTTTGATTATATTTTTGATTAAATATTGAATATTAAATATTACAATACTTAAATTAACTACAATATGTTTTGAGTTATATAAATAATTTCTACATTATTTGTTATTGTATAATGTATTGATTATTGTAATAACATCCTGATTTTGTTTTTAATTCATGACATTTAACGTTTGTAATACTCTTTAATGTATTTGTGTTTTAATATTTGAGAGACTGTTTATTTATTAGATAAATTGATAAAGTCTTGACCTACCTTATTTCTAATGTAGATAGAATTATAAATTTAATTTTAAAAATTTATTTTACATTCCTAGTATAATAATTGCGGTATTTCTAATAACATAATTTGCCAAATTAGTGAAATTCGCTTATAATTAAATACATTTATACACGGTAATTCTAAACTTGTCTTTTATAATTTCGCTTTAAAAATATTATCGATTTCAACCATATATTTTGGTTTAAATTTGTAAAATAATTGTGACCAATATACTTTTTAAAATTCATATAATAGAGATAATTCATATAATTTAAAAACTTTTTGAAATTTAATTTCTGGTGCCTAAGAATGTTAACTTAAATAATGGAACCAATTGTATAATTCTTTCTACACTAGAAAGTAAGCCAGTATTTTATCACATGATCTAATAGTACTTTAATAATATATGTAATAACACAAAATGATATACAAGGAAAAACATTATTCATTTATGAGTTTATAAATAAATTCATTTTATATTTTAACATTTTTAAAAAAAATTAACTTAAAATATAAACAGTTTATGTATTATTTATTAGGCTTAATTGTTCATGATCTTATAGTTGTATAAGTATACCAATTAGATAATAATGTATTTCGTTATACCGTTTGCTACAATACAATTCAATAAAGTATATCATTGCTATAAGAATGATATCTATATGAATAATAATAATATGTCATCAAAATATCCTTTAGTTATACACAATAATGTAAGAATCTTAATATTTTTTTATGATAATACTATATATTTATTTCAGTGATTTATAACATTAATTCTTAAATCTATCAGAAAAATTTATATGGCATGTCTTTATCGTTTGCACAATATATTACATGTGTTTTAAATCAACCAATTCGATTTGTCAATAATAATATGGTAATGTATAATTTCAAACATATTAAAACTTTGTAAATCATAAATAATTTTAAAAATAATTTATTTTTCAAATATTATAATTAATAGTATCACGTATCATTTGTTCCCAATTCAATTATACAAAATATAAAAGAATTAGTTGACAATTATGTATTAATTTATAATGACAAAACGTATTTGATCGAGATAGTTTCCGGGTTGCAATTAAATCGTGATGTATCATTATTTGGTATATTGAAAATATTTCATTATAAGGTATCAAATATTTTTATGTTAAATAATTAGAAAATAATAAATAAGATATAAATCAAGAAGTTATAGAACATACGGATATTTTTTTATAAACGTTACTTGATAATGCTATTTAAAATTATTATTATAGTTTAATAGACTCCAATGTTATGCTTAACATTATTAATAATATTTAAAACTTTGTTAATTACAATATTACGTAAATTTAGGTTTGGATAATTATCGCTTTCTTTGCATTTATTATTACTGTATTAATAAAATTCAAATATCATGATCACACAAATTTGAAGCATGCAATAGTGGACATGTTCAATCTACAAATTAATCAATCAAATAATTTATTTAATAAAATAATAAATTTAAAAACCACTGGAATATCAATGATTGCATTGATTTATATCTGGATTTTAAGTTCACTATTAATAACAATATTTTATTGCAACGATTTATTGAACACTTATATTAGCGTAAAATTTGTGCCAATAGTGAACACAATTGAAGATATTTTAAACAACAACGAAATAAATGTATTATTATATAAAAATCCCATTAATACCATTGCTAAAGAATTACCACAATTTAATCACACAATGAATGCACTCATTGCTAGACATAATAGATTTGAACGAATAATGAATAAAACCAACGTAAATATATACGATAATATTAATACTTATTTAAAGAAAATGATTGCCGGGAATATTGTTATATTAGAACACTCTTTGAGATTATATGTTTTTAATCTTATGTTACAACAATTTTATGGCAATCGGTATTCGATTAGTAAATACAAATATTTTCCTCACATGACATGTTATTTTATTGCAAAACGTGTTATTCATTATTTTCCACAAATACTTCAAATGTAAGTATACTGTAGATTATTGATAGGCACTCTTTTTTTAGAGTAGCCAGATTCAAATTCACGGTATGCCATAAATAGGTGGCGCAAAGGTAGGTAACAATTAATTAATTTAAAAAATACCACAAAAATACATATAATTTGATCACTAGTTTGAAAACAAACTTAAATACAAATGCAGTCAAACCATACGATAGCTATCGTATGGTTTTTCCAATATTTCAATGCATTGAACTTTTCATAAATAACGTTACGTTTTTGTCAAATTTGTCATATTCCAACCCCTCTCACCCCCTGGATATCCGTATATGAATTCAAACAATTATTTATCTATCTTAATGTTTTAATTAAATTACCAGTGTAGAACAAAACCTTATCGGTTTTGTTTAGCTAGATTTTAAAACATAATTGTAATGTTATGACAATTGGCTTTACTACGTCAAGTTCCCAAAAGGTACTTGAGTGCCGATCAACACTGTAGATTAAGATTGTGCTGACGCTGTTTATAAGTTGATCAGTTTATGTACAACACATGGCTGCTATCTATATTGAGCTATTAATGCACTTGTCGTTACAATTATCGTCATTCTATGCCCTGTTTTATTCAATTTAAGTTTATTATAAGTTAGTAATCATTTTGAAATGTGTTTAAACCTCACTTCTTATATTAATATACATTATAAAGTTATATGAGTAATGTTTGAATAGCGTATTTAGTAAATAATTTAAAAATTAAAATTACACAGCAATAAACATCCATAGTAATTATAATGGCGAACGGGAAATTAAAACATTGTATTTTATAAAATAACAACAGAATGTTTAATTAACATGTTTAATTTTTACATACCAATCTGGTTTAATTGACATTTATTCTAAAATTAAATTAATAACAATTTTAAATTAATATATTGAATAATTTAATTATTTTTATATATCTGTACAGTATGTTTCTGCTATTTCATTGCATAATTATTGAATGCCTGATATTTACTTATATTTTTAATAGGTTTAAACGCGGCTTAGAATGTGGATTAAATTATCACCATGATATGATTTATAAGCTTATCATTAAATATGAATTTATACATTATATACGAAATGACAGTGAAATGGTTTCAACGAATGATAACACATATAATGACATAACAATCGATGATATATTTCGAAATGCATTCCCGCTGTTAATCATCGGATGTTTTGTTGCATTTATAATAATATCAATTGAATTAATTTCACACAATATATCCATTATTTATGTATTTATTATATCAATATTGATAAAAACATAAATAATAAACAATAACTCACAAATACCGAATGCACTTTAATACAATTGAATTGGCGGCAAACAGATTGAGACTATCAGATATGCATTTGAACAAGGCAATAATGAGTATTACTAATAATGTATTACTAATAATATATTATTTTTAATACTCATTATTGCCTTGTTCAAATGCATATTTGATAGTCTCACTCTGTTTGCCGCCAATTCAATTAAGCTAATACATTATTACATTGTATATTACATGTATTTTTAATTACCTAAAACTGTACACTTATTATCAATTATGATAAAATGTTATACATTATATTTCAATTATTATAAGTAATGCTACTATTTAATTATGTTATATTAGATAATCTCGCTGAAAAGTGGTCCAACATTTGCATTGTGTGCGTTTTAATATTAATCCTTTTGAAACGACTTATAAAATTTCATTCAATATTTGCATTAAACTTTGTAGTCTTGTCTGAGCTTCAGATTCCGACCAACACTTCAATAATAGATATCTTTACAGTATATATACAGTTGTTGTTCGAGTCTAACAAACAGTTAAATTAATAAATTTCGTATAACTTATTAATACTGTAAAGTAATTTGCCTACTTCATCGTGGCAGCATGGTTTAAATCTAGAACATCGAGATTCAATAATATAATTACTGATAGCTATAATTAAATATCAAATGTAAACATAATGTAAATTATTAACAAAATTGTTTTATAAATAATTATTTAGAGAGAGAGAGAGAGAGAGAAAGAGAGAGAGAGTTACATACATAAACAATAAACATAGTAATTAACTTACCAACTGATTTATTACTTGTACTAACAGTACAAACACTTTTATCTAAAGTATATAAAGATATAGTAATTTAAAATTATTTTTTATTATAAAGCAAGCAATTAATTCAACTTATGTGATAGCCATAATTATCGGCAGCTATTTTTATTTATTTCCCATAAGAAATGGATGTTCTGTGAGGCAACGAATGTAGTGATGTCTATTTCAACCACTAATTTTGTTTGGCAATTTTATTACTAAGCCATGAGTTCAAAGAATAAGTTACCCAGTAGTTTGGTAAAGGAATAAGTTATTCCTGAATAAGTTATTCCATGAAAACGCGCAGGGGCCACTGTAGGGCCACTTTTGTATAGT